GGCTACTTAGTTGTTTTGACTGTCGCCAACAGCTCCAATTTGCTTTCTCATTTTTAAATCACTATCTACCTTCAAACCCAAATTCATGACGGTCGGTTTAAAATATGCTGTCAGGGGTCCTAGATCTAGAGTAGTGGAGTCAGTTTACTTCTCATTAAAATTAAAAACGTTAAGGGCCAGAGAGGCTTTATTGACATCTAAACTGTTGAATAAAGAGCACTTTGAGCAATATTTAAGGTATATGACAACTTTAGCATTGCACAGAAAAGTATTTTGGCATGCATCAAGCTGAACACTCTCGAATAAAAATGTTTTGACAGATTATCTAAACTGTTTTCATTGTAGCGGGCCTGGCCTATTCCAACCTGGTGTATGACTGGATAAAAGCAGCTGTAATGTTTGGTGTTATCAACACCGTGGCTACACTGGACCACCTGGACCCGCCTCAGCCTCCCAAATGTATCACCATGCTCTATGTCTTTGCTGAGACGTACGTGGAACTCCCTCTTTCCACAATCTCTGTGAAATGATGTACTGTTAAATCTTGAAATCAGGACACTGCATAGTTTTGCACCAAAGAAATTTAAATAAATTGCTTTGTTTTGTTTTTGCAGCCACTTTGACAGAGGCATCAACGACTGGCTTTGCAAGTGAGTGTTTTTCGTTCAGACTAATGATGGTGGTGATACAATGTGATTTTGGTTTGAGCTGATGTGACGTCCTTACAGGTATGTCTATGACTACATTGGTGAGAATCATGACAAGATCTTTAAAGAACTTCTTGCAACCGTGTGTACTTTTGCCGTCACCACCTTGTGGCTGGGCCCATGTGAGCTGGTTTACATCTGGTCATTTTTCAACTGCTTTGGCCTCAACTTTGAGCTTTGGGTGGCAAAGTTGTTCTCCATTCCACCGTTTTCTATGATGGAGGTGAGAAGCAATAAAAAAATAACCACTTTATATTATGTAATGTTCACTACCGAATTGCACATCACTGTAATTATAACCTTTGGAAAATGTTTAAGTGCATTAAACCTTTAGCCATATGGTTATGTTTGAGTGAGATTTAGGGAAATCATTGAAGAATAAATGTGTGTACTTCTTCTTGTATTTAGAATGCTATGGGTGAAGCTATGTCTCGCAGGATCAGGGGTGTCTTCAACGCTGCCAACTTCTGGGCTATTGTACTCTACAATGTTCTCTCCCTGAACAGTTTGGAGTTTGCCAAATTGGTGGGCAGAAGGATTATTTTCAAAGGTAGGTTAAAATGTGCGCAAAAGAATGTTAAAAGCCTTGAAATTCTCTCACTGAGATCGATACATCTATTGTCTTGCACTTTTCAGTGAGGTAAATAACATATCTATTTTCTAGCTTGTTCAAGGTTATCCCTTGGCTTTCCTAGGCAAAATGCCAAGTGCATTTCTCGTTATTCAGGTCTATCCCGGAGTCTTCTCTTACCCAGGTGCTTGAAGACCCTTGGGAACAAGCTCTATTGCAAGCTCCCCAAAATATTTGTAAAGCAAGGGCCAGTCATCCTGCAATAGAAGGCTCTCTAAACCCACTTGTATCCGGGTTCGCCCTCACTTTGGTCATAATTTTTACCTGATGACCAAAGGTAAGGGTTCAAACTATAAACTGAGAGCTTGCTTTTGGCCCAGCTCTTTAAACAAAACAAAAAAATAGAGCACCTTCCACATTACAGCAAAGACATTAATTCTTTGCTTGAGACTGATCCATTGCCTCGAGGGAACAATCAACAATGTTTTTTTTTTAAGAAAAATGGCTACAGACTTAAAGGAGCTGACACATCAAGACAACTTTGTATTTGGCTGTAAATTGCAAACATTTTGACAGTGTATGCTAAAGGTTAGGGTTTTAAAGTATAGAACCGCATTATCCATTAGAAGGAAGCAAAGAGTCACTAGTCTGTAGACCTTCATTTCCACAACTAAACCCTGAGATCCTTTTACCTTAAGACCACAGTCAGGATCAGAGACAAGGGGCAGCCCTGGTAGAGACCATTCCACTCTAGGAACAATTTAATCGTGTACTAAGAAGATACACACAGCTTTGCCTTTGGGTTAAATGACCACATAACCTTTACAGACATCCCTGAAAAAACATGCAGCATTCCCCCTCATAATTCTTGGGGTAATATGGACATATTCAGGTAAAATTCCACAAACACATGTTGACCGGACAACTGACTCCCATGAATCATTCAATACTCCACAAAGGTTTCTCTGAGACACTAAGAAATTTGATACTGTGATATATGCTAGATATAAGCTACCTGGATCCTGTTTCTAAAGGGTAGGACCCTTCCATGTTCTTCCATGTTATGACCAGAATCAAGAGATCCTCAAACTGCTTTACCCAATATCTGACAACCTAGAAATTAGAAAATCTGACTTTTGATTTGACTGCATCCATTTAATGCAAGAATTACAGCATATAAATGTAATCATCCAAACAGAATAATTTTAACCTGGCGTGTAGAAATGTTACACAACCCCCCTTCTGACAAGTACTAAATGTATTCCATTTCTATAACATTTCCCAAGGGTTAAGCAAAAATTTCAGTTCAATTAAATGCTATTTGTTGTATTAATATAATAGGATTATATTATATATAATAAGAGAATATATAATATTATATATAATAGGAGAAATTTACCTCTGCATTTAACCCATTCCCTTAGGGAGTGATGGGCTACCATCGTGGGGCGCCCAGGGAGCAGATTGAGGTTAAGGGTCTTGCTCAGATACCCAGAGTGGCAGTCTGTGGGTGTGGGGCTCGAACCCAGAACCTCAGGATTCCAAGCTCTACTGTATGCCCTGACCAATAGGCCACCACTCCCCACAATATAGTACCAATTCACAACACATCATCTCAAGGCACTGCAGGACATTTAAAGAAAATTGCTGAATTGCTTCATGTCATGAGACCAGTTGGTAAGCTACAATAGTTTTGTTGGAGCAGAGCTGCATCTTAAACTTGGAAGACAGCAAAGTTTGGAGCATCGTTGTGAAACCATGTTAATGCATTAAAATATAAAGTAATGTCAAGTTTTTTTGGTTTTTTTTACGCATTTTTACTGTGAGTCCTAATACGTGTTAAAGGGACAAGGTTGTATTATTTTTGTTTAATTTAATTAACCACCGTAAAAAAAAAAAGATGGAAATCATATTTTTTAATGTAATTCTCATTTTCACTTTCCCCTGTTGTATTTTTCCATCCCCATTCCTCAGGTTTCCCTCTGTCCACCCTGTCTGTGCTGCTGGTGACCTACTGTGGTGTTCAGCTGGTGAAGGAAAGAGAACGTCAGCAGGCCCTGCTGGAGGATCCGGACCCAGTGAAGCCAGTGGATGGTGGCAAAGAGAAAGCTGAATAATCAAACAGAAAACCAGGATATGCTTTCATCGTCAGCCTCGCCAGCTGTAACAGAACCAGGCTGTTAAAGCCATTCGGCAACTTTAAAGTTCAACAAGGCAAAGCTTTTGCTTGTCAGAAGCGAGCATTGTTGACCATCCTCAAGTGCACTTCCAGTAGATAATCGGCACATACTTTGGCAATAAATCCCACAATGACATATTTTGTATCTAAATCGTATCTAAACAAATGTTTATTATGTGGATTACAGGTTTTAAAAACCAAACAATTAATAGAAGGATAGACAAATATCCATATTTAAATGAGCAGCTACTTTGCTCTGGTTGAACACTACCATTTGAATTACTTTCATATTTGAACATTCTTGTTGTCTGCAGTATAGTCCATTTCTCAGGCCTATTATCACAACCCTTAATCTCACTTAAGGGAAAAAGACTTGAAAGTAAATGGCAATATGGAAAAACACAAAGGGTGCTGTGGAGATCTTCCACAAAGTTTTCAGTTGACTGTACCGTGTCTAATCTCCACTGTCCTATAGGAAAAGCAAAGTTATAGTAGAGAATAGTGTTTTTGATAGTGGCTATGTGTTGGTTATCTGAATGTAACTTGTTCCTATACAGTGTTCAAAGGGTCAATGCCTTGTTTAACATCACAGATTTATTTTAATTTTAATAAGAAATTGCTGATGAATATCAGTTTATCTTCCTCCAGCCCATCTTACACACTTCAGATCCCCACTTTGCAAGGTACACAACAGACCGTACAGTGCAAAGGGTCAGTCTTTTAGTGCCTGTCGACAAAACCCGGCAGCATGTCTTTGGTGCGGAAAGGGAACAGGGGTAACTTTAAAAAGATTAGAATGTATTTTATCATTCAGGTTTTTCATGCAAATGGCTGTTTATTTATCTGTCTTAAAATAAAGATATATTTCACCCTGCTCTGAGGCCGGCTCATTTTTTTGTCCACTGCAGAAAGAACTGTGACTTATATATAGTGCTTCAGGGAATTATAAAGGTTGTTGTTTTGTTTTTTTTTCTATAAAATGAGTTTTAGGAGTTTAAAGAACATTTAATAACAGGGTGTGGGGGTTAATTATAGTTTACCTACTCAGACCTTTTAGGTGATGATTAGGGGAAGATTTGTTACAGGATGGATGGACATTTGTAACAGGATGGAAGAAACATACAATTTTTCTTCAATCAGAAACTAGCTAGAGTGAAGACACTCCTGCTGAACATTGGATGTCCCCACATCCATTGCAGAAGCTCCTGCATTGTCCCCAATAATACAAAAAAACAGTATTTTTAACACTCACTCATTAGTTTTTACTTTAGTATAGTACATCTTATGAGGTTAAAGCATGGGCAGGAGGTTTATGAATGTGTTTGCATGTGCACATGTGTCTGAGTGCATGACCTTCCTCAACTGTGTTTTAAAGCTGAAGAGGATCCAGTGAATAGTCAGATTCTATTAAAATATACATATATTTTAATAAAAATCTCAACCTATACTGCTAGATACAATTATCTAGTTGCCATATACCTAAGCAGATAATGGGGTCTTAATGGCAGGTAGTTAGTTATGTAATATAGTTAAATTTTCCTCAGCTGTGGTTTTATAGAATTGTTTTTAAAAACATTTTCCTCAAATGTAAATGTTAAATAATGCATGCACACACTGGTAACTGAATAAATAAAAGGTAACGGACTCACAAGTTGTTCTATTCTTCCTATGTCACTGAATTCCTACATCTGCATAAAACTCACAATATAATTGGCATCTGATCAAAGCTAATGAAAAACAATGGAATAAAATTCAATATATCTGAATTTTATTTACATATTGCAACAATCCCACCCCAAACAGTGTTGCAACTTTCCCCAGCTCCAGGGTTGGTTGTAACATCTGGCTCTTTCTATTTAGATTCAAATTATGAAAAGAATACTTTCTTTAGTCAACTTTAAATGTTTTTTACTATTAACAGGCAGATATGCATTTATAACATAAACATTTAGTTGATCTAATTCAAACCAATCACTGAGTAACAGAGTCAAATAAAAACTGTTGCAGCTATCCTAAATTTTCCCTATGCATTCAGGGGATGATTCTAGATTGAGGTATTTGAAATACATGTGATGTGAAATTTTTTTCAGGTGTTTTGTAATTGAAAAGAAATTAGCAATTATTGAAAGTTATGTTCATAGTTGATCAAAAAGCAGAACATAACCATTTTGGGAAATTTTATTAAACGTTTTAAGGATAAGTTTGATTTTAAAAAAATGTTGAAAGTAAGAATCCGTGTTTTTTTGTTTGTTTTTTGTTTTTTTAACAGTGTCCTGTCTGGTTATGTGGCAATAAGAAAAATTGGCTTGATGCCAAAAAAGGGCCCAACAGATTTAGCTTTCACAAGTGGAGCAGTATGGCTATCGCCATAGTGTTCCGCTTAATTTATGCATGTAAATTGCTTTATTGTAATTATGCAGGGAGTTTTACAGATTATATGGACACTGCATTATAAGTAGAACAGGACAAGCAAAAAAAAAAAAAGGCTAAAAGATGAAAGAAAGAGGAGATAAAAGGGAGATAATGATAAAAGATCTTCAGTCTGCTTCATCACCTGCAAAGAGATGACACAACCAACGGATACACAAAAGTAGCACCTTGACGCTATCGTTGAAGTATAAGTAGTATTATTTAATCTGACATGTATACTGTGATAGCTGAAGATAAGAATATGGTCTTTCTGTATGGATGTGAAACTCTTAGTACCCAGAACCAAGTATCTGTAGTTGTTTGTGAGAGTGGACTTGTGCATGTAAAGTTTATCTAAAGGAAAAATGCTCAATAGTGGTTGTGAAGAGCCAAAGAAAAAAAAAAACAGATGCCCAAAAGGATCCCTAGAGCAAAGGCACCCAGGAGGGGCCAACCCAGGATATCTGCCCCCCACTCCAAGGGAAGAGGAGAGAGCCGAGGAAAAATACCCCAGCCGCTGTAATGCCGGTGCCCCCAGGAGCCGCAGGGACGAGTCTGTTTTAACACAATGAATTTCATACATTGAATTTGAGTTTAGATCACTTCTACTAATAAATATTAAAAGAAAAAAATGAAGACTGCTATACATTATTATCTGCTATCTGAAATCATTTATGTATTTCTCTCTTTTAATCTACAGCGTCCAATTCTAATAGTTGTGAAGTTATTTTCACGTGGTCCCTCATAAAAGGACCATTTTAATACCTAAAACACAAGGATTTGTTCACATATAAATGACAGAAAAACAGCTGTTCTTTTTTAATATAAGAAGGTGTCGTTTTTAACCAGTAGGTGTCACTGTTGCCCAACCTATGTAACCAACCTAAGCGAAACATGTGACTTTAGAGTACACTTTATGTCCCAAAAGCATAGATAAGAGTTTAAAAAAATAAAAATAAAAACATCAAAAGGCAAAAGAAAGAAAGAAAGAAAGAAAGAAAGAATTAAATTTTCAAACTATAAAAAAAACTATTGTCACATAAAGGGAACATACTCAGCAAAGTGATGTCAGTGTTAACATATCATGTGTGTTGTGTGGATGTGCACATTGGATAGGTATGTTAAAGATAATTACACTGTTTTTTTATTAATGTAAAGGCAGAAGAGAGAGAGTTTGAAGTTTACAGTATTTGACTTAGTCATTTTACTTTTCTGAGTCACATATGCGTTTGAATATCTATAAATTAATGTAGAATCTACTCTTTCTTTAACCACAAAACAAATGTGGAGTATCTTTATTGCGTGTGACTCAGTGGATGAGGTAAAAACATATTAATAGAGAAGTATGTCAGTTTCTCTGATTGTAACTTGGAGAATGTAATGGTCAGAATAAATGGAGGGATGTTTTGTTTGAGGATCAGCATTTATTTTTACTTTTAAGAAACATTAATTGACATATAAAGACGTTTTCAGTCAATTTTGTCTTCACATTGTATCCAAAGTTTTATTTATTCCAGCTGCTATACAATGCTCATAATATGTACACTAAAAAAAGAAAAGTGTGTTACAATGTCAAGAATAGCTGCCTGATGAGTAACATTCAGCTGTTCTCCATGGGCTGTCTCGGTCCCTGGTTTTGCTTTGTGGGGATCCAGTCTATAAATACTAAGGACTTCCACACTCAGTGACAGTCATAGACAGCTGCAACCATCAGCTCACCAATCCTTTGAGGCTATTCGTGGCAATCTGAGCAGGCCAGTGAGCACCGACAGTGTCGCTCTGTCGTGGCAGAAAGTGAGCCCACCATCAAAATGGCTGCTTTGACGATAGACCCGGTGCAACAGCCTCGGATGTACCAACAGTCCCTGCTGCAGGATGGACTATGTGACCTTCTAGAGAACGACAAGTTTGTGGACTGTGTCCTGAAAATCCAGGACAAGGAGTTTCCCTGTCACCGCTTGGTTTTGGCTGCCAGCAGTCCCTTCTTCAAGGCCATGTTCCTGTCTGAACTAGAGGAGAGTAAGAAGCGGGAGATAGTCCTTAAAGATGTGGACCCCAGTGTTATGGGGATGATCCTGCGCTACTTATACACATCTGACATTAATCTGACAGAGCAGAATGTTCAGGATATCTTCATGATTGCTAACATGTACCAGATCCCTTCCATCTTCTCTGTATGTTTATCATATCTCCAAGAGAAGATGGTGCTGGGAAACTGCCTTGCCATCTTTAAATTGGGTCTTCTTCTGGATTGTCCGAGGCTCGCTCTCGGAGCTAGAGAATTCATCTGTGAACGCTACCAAGTTGTTGTCAGGGACCAGGACTTTTTCCAGCTCAGCCCAAGTGAATTAGCCATCATCATATCTTCAGACGCCCTAAATGTTGACAGGGAGGAGCAGGTTTTTGAATCCCTGATGGACTGGATCAAACATGATGAGCCAACACGGTTAAAGGAACTCCCTGAGTTGTTACACTGTGTCCGATTCAGGCTCATTCCAATTGACTACTTCAAAGAAAAGGTTCAGCATCACCAGTACATACGGTTTAACCAAGACATCAAGAAGGAGCTGGATCTCATCACAGATGCTTACCAAGGCCGTCTCCCCAAGCCGAAGAAGATTGACGGAGCAAAGGGAGGAGAGGAGACAGACGAGGAGGATGAGGAGGGATACCTGCCTGGAATCCTGAACAACAACCCTCGCTTTGGGATGTTTGAGATGGACCTCATACTCATGATCAACAACACAGGGACTGTGGCCTATGATCCGGCAGGAAATGAGTGCTTTGTGGTTTCAGAATCTACAGAGATTCCCAAGAACCACTCAAGCCTGGTGACAAAGCAGAACCAGATATTTGTGGTTGGAGGACTTCTCTATAATGAGGAGGACAAAGACGAACCGTTCCTGTCTTACTTCCTACAGGTAGTGTGCTAAAATGTCAAAATGAAACAGTTTTGTTTTGCTTTGTTTTCTGCTAAAAACTAAGAATTTTAAAGGACAGATGGCAACATTCACAAGTTTTTATTTATTGCTTGTGGTCAGTTTTAGATATTTACATTTGTTTTCATGCTCAAAGATTAAAAATGCATAAAAAAGAAAGCAAGGACAAGATATTCGAGAGTTTCTAAACATTAGATTAGATAGTGTATAGCCTTAGCATAAGCAATTAAACATAAATGTAGAACAAAGTCATCTCGCCAGACTCCAGGTTGAATGGCTTTGGTTACACGTTGCTCTCAATAAAGACAGTATTGGGGTGTTTTCGTCACTTGAGGTGACCCTAGAGCAGGTGTCATCAACGCGGTGCCCATGGGCACCAAAGGGCCCTCAAGGACCACATGGGGTGCCCTCAGCGTCTTCTGAAAACTGAACAAATCACCAATGGCTAAGTTTTAAACTTTATATGATTTTGTTGCTCTTCTTTTTCAATAATTTAAAGAGCACTTAATCATATTAATCACATATAGCATTTAGGCATTTATAGATATTTCTAAATAAAAATATGTAAAAGAAAATTTTTATATTTATTATGAATGAAGTTTAGGTGAACCATCCAGTTCATAGATCAGTATTATTTCCTATGATTCAATACTCATGAAGTAGCTCTCAGCCTTAAAAACATTGCTAAAAACATTGCCCTGCCCCAGAGGGTCACCTCAAGCTAATACTACACATATGGCTGTTTTAAGGGCGACAGTGGTGTTGGATGTAGGAGTTTGCCCTGAAATCGAAGGGTTGACGGTTCAAGCCCCAGCTCTGACTTTCAGGGTCGTTGTGGGCAAGACGATTCACCTGCATTGTCTACTGATGGTACAAGAAAAACAAGAATAGCTGCTGATGAGATATTGTTGATAGTAAATAAGCTTTATTTATATAGCACCGTTCACAGACCAAAGCCACAAAGTGCTTCACAACACAGTTTAAAAACATCAGAACATACACAATATAGGAATATAGACAATAGGGAATCATAGCATCCCAAAAGGTAGGAAATTAAAAGCTTGTACAAATACATAGGTCTTAAGTATGCTCTTGAAGGTGACAAAAAAGTCATTAATTTTGATGCTATTCATATATTAAACACATGGATGTTACCAGGATTTTAGACAACACATGCTAACAATCAACCAATGTGATGGACTGTCTGCCTGCTCCCTCAGACTGTGTTGGTTCAGCATGAACTATGTATTGTTCTCTTGTTCCTTCACTTAAAACCTCAAATTGAGTGGTGTCATCAGAGCAATATTGGTATGGTGAGAGTTATTGCTAAGCAAGGACAGGTCCACTCTCTACTCTGTTTACCTTCATGAAATTCATCTTCAACACTGGGGAAAGCAGGACTGCTCTTTCCTTTCTATACCAGATAGTTAAGGAGTCTCTAGACATCCATTTGACATATTTATTTGTTCATTTTAAAGTTTATTTTAAAAAACAAATTATTTTGACAATTTTATGTTTTCAGGATTTTCCACACTTTCTGGCTTTAACATCTTATATTACAAATATTTGCCATTTGAAAATCCTATTGTAAAAATCTCTCCAAATGTCTGCTGTTATCCACAGTTTGATCCAGTAAGTTCAGAATGGTTGGGAATGCCTTCACAGCCCAATCCTCGGTGTCTGTTCGGCTTGGCTGAAGTTGAAAACTCTATCTTTGTTGTTGGTGGGAAACAGCTGAAGGAGGGAGAACATGCCCTGAGTTCAGTCATGATCTATGACAGACAGTAAGTTTAACTTGATTTTAGGAACTTCTGGTCACTTGATTAGTTCATTGTTTCACTGAATTTATGCATGATTTACCATGATTTTTTTTAAATTATCTGAAGAAATCCAGAATAGCAATACCTAGAAATATGTGCTTCTCTTTTTGAATTTCCCTTCCTTTCTGCTTACAAATTACAATTTTTTCACATTCACACGTAAAACTGATATGATCATAAGAATGCATTATCTTCTTTGCACTCAGGTCATTCAAATGGGGAGAGTCAGACCCTCTGCCTTATGAGGTGTATGGCCATGGGACTGTTGCACACAATGGTCTTGTCTATGTTATTGGAGGAAAGTCTGAGAGCAAGTAAGTGTTTTGAGAAACACTCAACATCACACACGGTGATTACCAAACAAAATACGTTTATTGCTAATATTTTTCTGCTTCTATATTCAGGCATTTTTAAAAATTATAATACATTACGAAATTAGCTGATTTGTGGCTATATTTCCCATTTATTGTTTTGCATTTAAGCTTGTGTCATCATAGCACTGAACTTACAAAGTGCTCTATAGTTATACAACTGATATATGAACGACAGTATGTGCTGTACCAACACATATATAGCGTTCAATTAATCTGTTTAGAATATTGCTGCACACATATGGCAAAAAATACCATTAATTTTCATGATTGCTATTAAAAACATTCACAAAAAGTATAAAAGCAAGGACATGTTTGTGTTTTTGTGTATACTTTATGTTAAAGAATCTGTAGTCTTTCAAGTAGCTATGTGAAGGCATGTATACATAGTGAAAGCATCTTCAAACAGCAGTAGCTTCAGGTCTTTATTCAGTTTATTTCTTTGTTCTAAAATAAAAGGAACATCTGAAAAAAACTGTTTCCATTGGTACCTCATATTTGGTTAAAGGATGCGGTTTTATAATAATACATCAGTATACCTGCAGCTCCACTATGTCTAATTGTGTGCAAAAAGCAGCCAAGCCAGAGTTGGAGCCCAGGTTGTTGAGAAACTTGAAAAATCAAATCCGTTTTTGTATTTTTCTTCTTTTAAACTACTGACAAATAATTAAAAAAGTGCAATACCAAATGTTGAAAAGTCAGTTCAAGTATTCCTGGGAAAAATGAATAAAGCTTTCAGATTTGAGGCAGTTCCTGATCATTTTATAGCTATAAAACCTAAATATCTCCAAATCACCATTTTTGGTCTTGGTAGGTGAAGGGTTAAATCTGCTACCAATCTGTAGCACAACCTAAGTTATATTTATTGTACTAATTGAGTTAATTTTATCCTACAGTAGTTTATGAAAAACTGCTATTTACACTGTTCGAGGCTTTAATAACCCGATTAATTCATTTAAAACTTCTTGGCTAAATATTTTTCTGATGGGTGAATCTTGAATGCAATATTGTTAGGGCTAGCATCGTCCTTTATGAAGACAACCCAGTTTCTGAGTTATCAAAAGGCATGTCATAAGGCTGTACTTAATAAATGATTAACTACAGTATGATTTTTTATCCCAATGAAAAAAATGTTTCTCCTTTTTTTTCCCCCCAAAAAATATAAGTTGCATTTTAGGCACTTTTTCTTATGGTAAATATTAAATATTGGAATATCTTCTTCTTTAAAAAAATAAAATAATGATGTGTTCCAATTTGTCTACCCAGGAAATGCATGAGAAGAGTCTGCGTCTACAACCCCACTAAGTTTGAATGGAAGGACTTGGCTCCTCTGACAACTGCCAGGTCTCTCTTCGGCATCACCATCCATAATGACCAGATCTATGTGGCCACAGGGGTGACTGACTCAGGCCTCACCAGCTCTGTTGAAGTCTATGACATTACCACCAACAAGTGAGAAAACCTTTATTTCTTACCAGTAAATATGGCATATAATTTCTTTAGAGTGCAAAATCAGACATTAAACAACCGCAGATATTTGATAAAATTGATTTTATTAAACATTGCTTCATTACAGATTACAGAAACTCAAACACATTTTACAACAGCTTTAATTAGATAAGGGACAAACATCAGTCATTTTTGCTATAATGTATAAATCAAAATTTACAGTGTAACTCAGTCCATTTATACATACTAATCTCTAAATATTGTCCTTCTTAGAAAAGGTTTATGGTACACTAGCTCCAAAGGTAGCTGTGTCTGGGAAAGAAAAAGTCAGGTTGATGAGCCATGTGATGGTTTTTATTTAAGAAAAATGATGAAAGAGACCACATACATATAGTCACTGTGAAAGCTGAGTCTATTGCTATCATACCTTGAAAGAGAGAAACAGCACTAAGCACTGAAAATAGACCCAACTTTATCAATATGTAATGCAAGTTGTTGATGGCAGCAGCCCAACTGATACCTCCCTCCATAGTAGAATCACAGCTAAACCATTCAGTCAGACTCCAATAGTAAGTCCTCCTATCTGGGGAGGGGTTTCGCATTTACATCAGGGTGAGTTCACTTAAAATGTTTGGAACGACGCCTAAACTAATACCCTCTAAGAAGGGTTTTTTTAGTGCATGAGGTCAAATTTAGTAAACTACTGCTACTACTATAACTCAGAAGCCATAAATTGTGACCATAAAATAGTCTTTTGTTGTGTTTGTGTCAATATCAGTCAAATATCAGATTTTTTATAGTGTTATATCCCTGTTGTTTGTTTGTAACATTCTAGGTGGTCTGAGTTTACAGAGTTTCCTCAGGAGCGCAGCTCTCTTAGTCTCATCTCAACAGGGGGTTATCTGTACGCTATTGGAGGTTACGCCATGATGCCCAGTGAAACTAGTGAAGAACCAGCACCAACTGAGATGACTGATATCTGGAGGTGAGAGACCGCTTTACACAATTGCTCTAATGTTTGTCAAGAATTAAAAATAAACTGCTGACTTTTGAAATATGAAATTATGGATTTCTCATTATTACGGAGATAACAAATAGAATAGAATAGAATAGAATAGAATAGAATAGAATAGAATAGAATAGAATATTCTTTATTGATGCTGGTATAGGCTACATACACATTAATAAGAATTAAAATAAAATAAATAAAAATTACATACAATACCCAAAAAAAAGCAGAACAACAAGTTTTAATAGAGATGCTGATTTAATTTCACAGCAGGACTTGGATATTCCTGCACTGCCAAAGATACCAAAAGCTGATTCAATGAACTCTTCAGAGGAAGACGAAATACTCCAGAACTAACAATGCAAATATTCACATTTTTTGTAATATATGAGTTTCACTTTGACAAATAATATGAAACTTCATCAGATGATTTATGTTTTTTTATTGATAGACCTGTAAATTTATATTTATATACAAGAGATAAAAAGAGGTTTGTCAGAGATAAAATGTGAAACAGCTTTAAGACGATGATATGGTTTTTACACTAATGCACTCTTAGCAAAGCCATTTTAAACTATTCCTATTTGGGTCCAGATGTTGTCAGTCAAACCAGATAAGGCCCAGATTTCCTAAAATCATGATTATTGAAAAAAAGATAAATGTTAGGTTTCCATGTGGATATTTTAAGGTAAATATTTTGGCATGACATATGGTACAGTTTTAACACACCTAATTTCTCACTGCTGTCATTATTCATAGATTACGGTTCAGGGTGAAAGTAAAGGTCTCTGTGCAAAGGCTATAAGGACACATCAGGAAACCTTTAGGATTAATTCATCATGACTTCATTTATTTGTTAATATGAAAACTTGAATCATGCTGCTATATTTTTTTCCACGGACAAGACAAGAAAGCAGGGTAGACTCATATCAGCATCCTTCAACAGAATATATTATTTAAAGAGGAGGACCAAAATCACACTGTGGAGAGAGTCCCTGGGACAAAACAAGTCATTTCTATTTTATTCAGTGAAAAAAATTATATTCCTCAAAGGGCTACAATTGAAATGCTGAAATCAAATTCCTACTTTACACCACATTAGAATCCCATTTGAAAAACCAATACTAAGATGTTTGCCTCTATTGCAGATATGATGAATCAGAGAAATGCTGGACTGGGATTTTGCGAGAGATCTGCTATGCAGAGGGATCCACCATTCTCCCAGTGCGTCTCAACACTCTTCGCCTCACCAAGTTATAATCAAACTGAACTGCTTCATGTTGCATCCTGAAGTCAATGTCATTTTTTCCATGTGGACAATGGACAACAGTTTGGGGTAGAGAATTATACAGGGGAACCTTGAAAAAGTAAAAAATGAGCTATGAGATCAGTGTAAAGTTTTATCACATCTTTTACTGCAGGGGGAGACAGACGCATGCCTACTGATTAAAGCTAAAGGAGAAGGACAGATAAATTGCACCAAATTTTAAAGACAAAAATGCTAAACCTTAATCTCATCTTTCCTTTTTGGTGGATATTCCAATAAATGTGTTTACTACATTCAATGTTGCATTTAAATAAAAGTCAGATGGCTGAATAAGTTTCTGTCATGGATGAGGCAAAAGAAAGACACTGAAGCCAGATCAGAGTGCAAATGTTATATTCATCCGTATTTGTTCAACCTTAAATTCTACACAACATGCTGAGGGTTAAAAAAAAAGACTTCCTTCAAAAGCTTACAGTAACTAGTTAAAGACACTTTGTAATCCTTACAGAGACATTACATAAATACAATGAGTGGAAAAGTTTTAAATGTAAACATAGATTTCTAGTTGACACCTGAGTACTAAGCATATCATCATAAAATGAATCGTAAAACAATTCTTTATGCATATTTACAGCTTGACTTTATATACAATGAGAGCTCTTTGTGACACTAGGTTCACACGCTGTATTTTTTGTTTAACATACAATGTCACGACAGGTACAAAAACGGGCACATACCTCCTACTATGACATTTATACACAGTTTGGATCAAACTGAGCTGCATTTGAACAGTTCTGATGTTTTGTTGCTAGATTACTTTAACAAAGAAAGAGTCTACAGGGACCTGTGTGCTAATGCACCACAAACGCGTGTGCTAGCATGCTGATGTCAGTGATAAAGTTGTTAAATTACATTCAGAGAGAAACAAGAGAGTCGAAACTTCAGTCCTTTGCAAAAAATATTCCTTCCTTGAAAGTTTTGTATGTTATGTTACAACCACAAATATCAATATTTATAGGAATTTTAAACTAATCATCTGGAAGTAGCAAACTAAATATGTAAGAGAAGGAATTTTATATTTATATTTTAGGAAATAAAAATGTGAGTCCAACTTTGTGTGATTTAATTTCAGTATAAATCTATGAGTTTTTGGATTCAGTAAAGAGAATTAGTTTATTTAAACAAATAACATTGGTTAACAATGTTGGAAAAGCAGGCTACAACCACATACTAGCCATCTAAAAGGATGGGAAAACATTTATAAAAGAAGCAGCAAAGGAAGCACTATGTCACTTTGGAGGAGCTACAGAGATCCCAGACTCAACTCGGACTGTTAAAATCCCAAACTAAATCCTTTATAAATTTGAGACTTTGGGTCAAGACTTAAAAAAACTATTCCGTCTAACCTTTCTTGAGGTATTTGCAAATTAGAATGGGCACAAAATAAAGAAAAAAATAAATAAAAATCTGCTTTTCCAGTAGAATTCCAGTAAAGTTAATCAAATATTGTGGCTGTAACATTGAACAACTTGGACAGTCTAAAAATAGGACTTTATCTACATTATTGTAAAATGAATAAAGTATTCATAATGGAACCAAAATGAAACTGAAAAGACTTATGTTTATCTAAAACGATTTATCACCAGGAAACCACAAACTAAAATATGAAAATTTACCATCTGAGTACAAAGATACATAAATGATTTACCTACTTATGGTAACAGTGAATAAAGTAAGCAAAAGACTCAATCAATTCATTTATCCATGCAATCTAGACAACAGAAGAAGCTTTAGCGTATTTATACACTGTACCGAAAACTGATCTAATACATCTGCTTTGTCTGTCTAAGATCGTGTACTTATAGAAAACTAAAAACATCTGTGATCTGACAAAAGTTTTATTAGCCAGAGCTTCCATTTTTCCTCTGGAATGTTATCCGGCAGTAATTCAGCTGAGTGTACGACCCAAATAAAACTGTCACAGACAGGACAGCCACATCCAGTACCCTGCATGTACCATGGACCTTTGCTTTTACGAACAATACTATCAGCGTTGCTAATACATTTATTAGTAAAAGTCATCAAGCTGTCATTTGGAAAGATAATTTTTTTAAATTGCCAATGTGCAGAGTTTTAGCGTACGTACACGTGTTTTGGATTTATCACAGCCTACTTTACAGTAATTTGATCCAACCCAAATTATCTGAGAGCAAAATAAGTCTTTCATGGTCTGAACAGCAAGCAGGACATTTTGATCATACAAGAACCAACAGCTAAAAACATTCCCATTGTGGCTCCTATATCTGCATATCTCTATATACTGTATATTTGCTTTTATCTTTCACAGGGATATTCATAATTCGAGATTATTAGATATCATGATATTAATTTAATAAGAAATTTATATTTCTTTTAATGCAGTGTGATATATGGCTGAAAAATATTCCCAGCTCGAAGATTTAATATCAGTCTATCTCAATAATTACTGATTAGTTTTTTGTTTTACCTATTTGAAATAAGGACAGGTAGAAAAATGGAAATATTAAATTGTTATCTTAACCACTTTTTTTTTACAGTTAAGAAAAGGGTGAGAGTGAGAGGCTAAACACTTTCCTCTGCCTACATCCTTCAGAATGCTGTGCGTTCTGAATTAGAATATATTGAAATTATATTCAAATCTATTGGACGTATATTCTATTGCTACAGTAGGTGTTTATAACAATACATATTGTTATTGTTTTATTGGGGTAAAAGTCATTTATATTGTTGTATCAGCCTTGAATATTAGTAAGAGATAATAAATGAGCTGGTCAAACAAAAATGGAAACTTAGTCACAGTCATGCAACCTGAACCATGTGCTGAAAATACTTGTGGGGTCATGGCATTGGATGGAACAAGGACTGAATTACTAACAGAGAACAAAAGAAATAATTAAAAACTGATTCCTGGAATGCATCGCATTGTATCGTATTGTATTAATGCATTTTCATGAGAGCTCCCATGAAGGACGATCTACAGCTGGAATTGATGTTTTCAAAAAGCCATTAAAGCCTGAGCAGTGTAAGTTTCTGAATCTTTGACTTCATCAGCATGCATGTCTTGATTTTGATGGCCAAGTACAAGACTACATCTTCAGCAAAAGGTTTGATCCACAATAAATACAATCTACTGTTTAACTGGTGACTCTAGTATGGCCAAATATTTGGCTTGTCCTCTAAAACCGGCTGTTTGAACTCCTGCACGAAATAAAAATGGAAGATTATAGATTCCTTATGAAGAGACAGGGTCTCCATTGAAAAAGAGAACACGGTACTAGGGCCATGGCTCCATGAGCCAACCATCTATCATTGTGGCCCCTATAACCAAGAGTCTTTTTATGATAAAAGGTTTTGTCTGGGCGGGAAAAAAAATATTTATGATTAAAGAAAAAAAAAAACAATTCTCCTTTTTGTCGTTTTTCTTTGTTTGTGGTTAATTGTTTCAGTATACAGAGCCTACACTACACATTTGTTTTTTAGCATTTCCAAAGTTTATGGCTAAAAAGAGTCAATTTTCTTCTGCAACATGAGTGGCTGCTGTTTTACTCTCACTAACCTGTTAATTGTGTTCTTCTTATTTGAGCTAATAATGCTAAAGCTCTACTCATTTTAAGAGCGTAGCCATCATTAGTTCTACTGTGTTTACAATATGAGCCCATAGACATTAATATTTGAAGGTAGTGGTATTTGCACTCTCTGCTGTTTAGCTAAGCCTCTAATTTTGCACAGAAAACAAACAAAATTGGGAATCCTTATAAATTTTTCACTCCATTCAGTATTTGTGTTAGCTTATTTTTTTACACAATAATAGGGAAATATGATCTTAAATTATATTAATTTGCAATTAAGCAAATCATTTTTTTTAAAGATAACTTTATTTGTTGTTTCTATTTTTATTGTATTTTCCAGGCTAACTTAACTTTAATTTCAATTTCTTACAATAAAAAATAGCTCTTTAACACATATAGAGCCGTGTATTAAGTGGTTATGATATAATTTCATTGGTTTAGGTTTTTTCTTGTTCTTTGTTTCCTGTAGTTAATGTTTTAATATTAATCTTTAATTTTTACTTGACAGCTTATTTAAATGTTTTTCTTTAAATTAAATGATGGATTGGCTAAGCTATTTTAAGTATTCCATTTATAAATTCTTCTATTTGAAGAGAAGTGTTTATTCTGTATTTATGCAGTGTTTGCTGTTTGAGAATGCGGGTGCGCAAATTCCCTCCTTCATCTGTTGTTATATATTATACCACACCTCAGCTTAAAGAATAACCAAAAGAGACTGATATCTGTTTGGCTATTACTTGCTGATAATCAGTTGGTCCTCTGACTTGGTCGTTTATCTTCAAACTACTAACTTTGCTAATAATTGCCTTTGGTATTTATTAATAGTAATTCCTTGTGAAATCAAGCTTGTTATTGCATGACAATAGGTTTCTTATTGGAAAAAAGAGAGAAAAGAAATGGAAGCAAATTATAAAGAGACCTGATTTTTTAGGGGCCTTGAAAAGTATGTGCCGAGACCTGAAAAACTGCTGCATGACTGATGGGAATGACTGCCAGGGAGACAGAGTTATAATGGGCGCAATGCAACCAGCTGCCCCAATGTGTGACTGTAAATTAAACATGGTCCAAGGTTGGTAATTAGTTAAAACAAACAAACAAAAAAACTGAAGTGCATTTTCACATCTAGATGAGTTGAAATTAAAATAAAGTTTTGTAAAAGTAACAAAAACAAATTGTCCTCGAGTCTTTTCATGCGTTTTGAGTGTGTTTAAAGTATATAGTAGTGGATTTGTATGTCATTTCTACATCAGCTGTGAAGCAGACAAAATAATCAGTGCTGAAAACGCACTGAAAGCAATGTAATGAAACACATAATAAATGAACATAAATAAATTTGTACCAGTTCAAGGCCAGTAGATGACCTTCCAATGCTAGCATCCATCATAGTTTTAGTTTATCTGTCATATGCCAGCTCAAGCATGAAAGCTTTAAACTCTTTGAGCTGTAGGTCTCTCTCTGTCAGAGTTTATTCCTCATTTAATAGTCCTTATGATTGAATAAATAAGATCTACCTAAAGTTGCCTTTCAAGCATAATGTTTACTTAAGGGGGAGAACAATCTACTTAAAACTCATTTGTGTCAGCACTCTTCCTTTGGAATTAAACTTGCTTTCTACTGTCTCTCCTTGGACCTCTTGTACCATTAGATAACAAGGATGTTCCCAAATTTTAAGTCATTTCTGAAGAAAAGCACATCCCAGTTATTATTTTCCCTATTTGATTCACTGAAATGCAGACAATCCAATAAAAATACTCTTCCATACTACGCTAAAGTATCTTTCTGGCCATAGCTGCTTTGATATAATCTTCAAAAATAGGAGCTTTTCTTCATTGAAAAGATCTAATTTAATAAGGAATTGTTGTCCGAGGTGTCAGATGACTTTGTGCTTCGGCGAGAAAAACACAGAGCACCTGTTTCTTTTTATAGCTAGCATATAAGATTACAACAACAAAAAAATCCACTTTAGGATTATCGTGGCCTCAGTACACCCAGTGTATGGCAACAGTACATGTGAGTCACACATTCATTAAATGATAATAGAAACCAAGGGGAGTCAGCATTTAGTGGGTTTCAGATTGCAGAAAGGTGCTCCTGGCAGGTTGAAGCCCGTCGTGTGGTTGGGCTGCATTTGGTCAACAAGGTGATCTGGGTGCTGAAATTGTTCCCATTGCTCCCAATGGATGGCTGCTGGTACTTAGTGTCAGCGCCAAGAAACCTCTGCAGCATCCACCTTCGCCATTTACGCTTAACCTCAGACTGCACCTGCAGGGGAGGCCAAGGAGGTGGACAAATAGTATGAGGAGTGGTGTTAAAGTGGGCTGGAAACACACCAGGTTAAAGAATAACAGACTTGTTGACATTTACAAAAAAAGAGGTGGGGGGAGTAAACACCTTGAAGAGCCTTGCTTTGTTTGAATTTACTCACCTCTCCATTCAGGAAGCAGTATAGGACAGCAACAACAAAGCCCTGTTAAAGAGATACAGAGGAGAAAAAAAGAGGAGCTGCAGTTAAAAAGACAGCTGAACTGCGGGAAATGCTCCAAATATTTAAGCATGAATAATGGTGGTAAGATTAAGACCAACTTCAGGCTTAGACAGGAGGTTCATCATGTCGATGTCTGGGATATGTTCCTAGTAGATATCCTTCTGAGCCAAAATGGTAATAAATTGAGAGGACTTTCCACCACAAAGTTTCCATTTTTGCAAACCTTTTTACTTGCAACATCTAGTTTCACTATTACACTATTTTCTCTTTTGTAAAAGTATTTCTCCAGATTTGCCTTAATATATGGCCAACAGGCTTTGTAACAATCTGAACAAGATGATTTGTTTTCTTACCTGAAATGATCCCAGAACAAGATCAAATGCCATCCTGAGCTGTGGGTGAATGTGTTCAGGAATAAAGGCAAATATTATGTAGTTTATTCCAAAAAGAGGTATCAACAACAATGTGGATTTAGCCAGTCTCCTAAAACAGAAGAAAAAGAGCAGAAAAGATCATAAAATTTAATTCAATTTTCACAACATATAATAACAAATACACACTATGTTTCATTTTATTAAAAAAAATGTGAAAATCATGGATAATTTTCCTTTAACTTTAGCTTTGCTTTTTCTATGTACAGAAAACTTAAATAAACGTTTTTTTTTTTAATCATGAGAAGTAGGAAAGTTAATTTTAGGATATATCTTTGCATTGAATTGCATAGCTTGGT